AAACATGCCATTGCTGATGTGAATTCTCTAAAACACGGCAAGTCTTGTTTTATGGACAGTATATTTATTGTCAGATGATGATTGTTGTTTTAATTTGTATTTCCCTGATGGCAAAGGGTGTTGAACATTTATAATAATACTTCTTAGTCATTACATTTCATCTTTTGAGAACTTTTGTTTAGTTCTGTTCTCTGATTTTCAATTGGCTTGTTTTCTTGATGATGGATATTTTGAGTTCTTTGTTTATTCTAGATATTAGTCCCCTGTCAGATATACAGCTGGTAAAAACCTTTTCTCATTTTGTAGTCTTCCTATTAGTAGTGTATTGCTGCATGAAGCTTTTCAGTTTCATGAGTTCCAAGACCTTACTTTTTATTTTTAATGACTCTGCTAATCAGAAAGTCCTTTCTAAATTGAAGCATGTTTCCTACTTTATTCTCTAGCAGGTTAGGGTTTGGGGTTGTATGTTAAGATCCTTTATCCATTTGGAGTTGAGTTTTGTGCAGAGTGACAGATAATAACTAAATTTTATTCTTCTCCAGTTTGGCCAGCACCATCTATTGAAGATGATGTCTTTTCTCTGATACGTATTTTTTGGCCTCTGACAAAATCCGGCAGTTATAGGAGCATGCATTTACATGTGGGCCTGAAATTGTATTCCATTGATCAATGGGTGTGTTTTTATGCCAGTACCTCTCTATTTTTATTACTATATTTCTGAAGAATAAATTATTGCGAGAAATAAAAACAAGAATACATTGTGTTCATGGAACATAAGATTTGATATCACTGATGTCAGTCAGCTGCCTAGTTATCTAAATGATAATTGAAACAAAATTACTACAGGCTATTTTTATAGAAATGAATAAGCTGATATTAAATTTCCTACAGAAATGCCACAGTCCACTATCACCCAAAAAAATTTAAGAAAAGAAAAATCAAAGCTGTAATACTTGCAATAGGTGATTTGAAACAAGCTATAAAGCCACAAAAAATTGACACAGCATGGTGTTTCATGAAAGGTGGACAAGTAGATTGATGGAAGAGAAAGAAAGGGCAGGACTGTCTGGGGTGGTAAGGAGCAATTTGATACCCATACACTTTAAAACAGAACTTTGGTCCATAATCTCACACAAGATACACAAAACTTACATTTCTCATGAAACTTAAGCTAAAACCTAAAATTTCTAACGTAAAATATACAAGAAATCAGTGTTACCTTAGGTGAAATAACTTACTCTGCTGTGGCTGCAGAGGCTATATGCAAAATTTAAAAATAAATACATAAATAACATGCTCCTTATTTAAATTATCACAAGTGAAAAGTCCCACTTCCAAGGGAAAGAGTGAAGAAGAAAGGATGAGGAGATTTGTGAAGGAGAATGGATGAGGGAGAGCATGGCAGAGAACAGACAACTGCACTGGGACAATATCTACAAATCTTTAATCTGATATAGTCCTTGCTTGGAGAGTATATGTAGGTCTCATACAGAGTGATTAGGAGAGCAGTAATCCAAATTTTAAAAATAGACAAAAGTTTTGAACAGGCACTTTCATCAAAGATGCACAGATAAACGACAAAGAAGCCTGCCGAGAAAACAAATTTTAAAAACCCAGCATTGACCATTAAGAAATGCATATTGGAATTGAAAGGAGATAGACACATGACTACATGTCTACTAGGGATAGCTAAAATTTAAAATATTTGTCACATGAAGTGCTGGCTTGGATGTGAAGAACATATCAAAGTTCTCAGAGAACCCTAACAGAAGTAAAACTTGATAAATCTACTTAGGAAAATAATGTAGGGTGTCTAAGAAATAGATAAAACAGACTCTACCATTTACTCTTAGGTTACTTACATAGTGGAACTAAAGAATGTATACATAGTCTTGAACATGAATATCCAGGGCAGTCATTTTTAAGCAGGCACATGGCTTCATCCCAATATAACTCCCCAAATGTCCATCAACAGGTGAAGGGATACACTTGAGTAGTGGTGTATCCGTTCAGTGACATACTACTCAGCAGCACAAAGAAATGTGCTACATGTAACAAAGCAGTAGCAAGGATGCATCTGAAAGGAATTATGTTAAGTGAAAGAAGTCAGAAAATGTGTACATGTGAGTTCCTGTATATAACTTTTTCAGAAAACATAAATTGACCTGAAGTAACAGAGAGCAAATGAGGACTTAACTAAAAGAAAGGACACCAAAAAAGAGACCAAGGGAAGCATGACGAGCAGACATGAAGAAACAGTTCATGACAGTGACCTGTCCCGTCATGACAGGGAAGCAGATGCAAAAGGAAGGCAAAGCAGCTGGTCTCATCACATCTAAAGTCAAGAAGCAGAGAGCGATGTACACAGGATTCCGGTGCTCAGCTCACTCTCCCTCCATAGACAGTCCAGAATTGCCTGCCCAGGGGATGCTCCACCCTCAACTGAGATGGCTCTTCCCCATAAATTACCATAATAAGGTAGCACCAAAAAGGCATGCCCGCAGATCCAAGTCCTAGGTAACTGTAGGTTCTGTCAAGATGACAGCACTGACCCTTCATACTTAAGACCTTGCCTAGTCATAGTGGTTAGCTGTAGAGCCAGATGTGGTCCTGATCGCCTGTTTCCCAATTCAATAGCCTCTGTGCCTTCTCTTATAATGGATCTAATAGAGAGAGAATTGAGCAAACTTTTAGGAGAGTGAAGTGTTTAGATTTGTAAACAGAAAAGGGAACAGATGTTTTAAACCTCTTCTTCAAATCCGACACACAGTACCAAGTCCTTAGGAAGTTAGTTTGTTGTCTTCACATTCATGTTTGCAAATGTCCTCATGAGAACGTAAGTTCTGGGAGTTGTTAAGAGTCTGGCAACTAAAGACGAAAATTAATATGATTAAGTATCTGGCAAGTAATGCTTCTAACACAAAGAGAATAAGAGTGGTTTGTTAAGAGAAGTTGGTGTGCTGTAGAAACTTACTGAAGGGAGTGTGGAAACAACCAGGGCATCCCACTGATGCCTTGGAGCAGGGGTGGATAGTGTTTTCAATATGCACAGACACAGAGAGAACCCAGGCGATGGCATCCCTGAAATGATGGAATCCATGAGGAGTCTGGCTAGCAAGCACCAATGGGGTGCTCTGGAGGCACTGAGCAAGCAATATGTACCATAGTGGGAATAGAGGCAGAGACAAGTGAAGAAAGATATTCTATCCATTCTCATTCCACTCTGCTCCAGGGTTTTCCTTAGTGAAACAAATACAAACACATAAATAGATGCACGTGTAAGCCATAATCAGTTCTCCAATTTGTAAGTTGTGTAGAATCTGGCTGTGTTTGAAGAAAAGCTGAAACACAGAACATTTAAGGAGTCTTCCCAGTTTCACACAATGATTAGTGGAAGTTAAGGGAGGTAGTTAATGCAGATAAAGTAAAAGCACAGAACTGAGAGGAACTGGGCTCCAGTGTAGGCTTGGCCACTTTCCATCACTTGCCTGGGAGAAAATTATTTCCTATTACTTTATCTGCAAAACAACAGTACAAAGACTATTGGGAAGAGCAGTGACAGTGGAAGGATTTGAATATGAGGATAAATAGATTTTAAATTATGAATGAATGAATGAATGATGGATAGGCTGGGGCTATAGCTCATGAGTAGAGGGCTTGCCTAGTGGGAAGTCCTCAATTCAACCCTTAGTACTAGAATGAAGTGAGGGGGGATGTATGAATAGACTTCTGTCTGTGCATGATGGAAGATTTAAAATAATCATATTTTAACTAGTACAATTTTCAGGCTTTCAGGCAACATATTTTATGTGGGGAATAACCATCTAGGGTGGGTTCCTTCTTCCCTTTTAGCTCTATTTTGCGTATTTGTGCGGGTGCATGAGCGTTTGTGTTTATATTCATGTACATGTTTCTAAGACAAACTTTGTGTCATAGTTCAAGTTCCATTTTTCTTTTTTTTTTTAATCACACTCTCTGGTGGGACTCAAACTCCATCTACTAAGTAGGGATAGCCAGTGACTGCCAGGAACCCCACTGTCTCTACCTCACCTATGCTGAAGTTATGAGTGCCCTTCTAATTATTTTTAGATGGGCTCTGGCTATTGCACTCAGGTCCCCAGGTCACTCTAGTGACTGAGCTATCTCTACAGCCCCTTTCTTTCTTGTTGACATGGCCTTTCTATGTAGAACAAACTGACCTTGGACTTTTGATCTGTCTCCCAAGCATTGTGATTCCAGACCTTTGCCACCTTGCTAATATATTTATATTAGAGTGCATCTCATTTTTCAGTTTGTGCATGGCTTAAGTCTTCCTTGTTTGACTCTTCTCTAAATTGTATTTTCCATTATTTTTTAGTTATTTCAGTTTTCCTGGAAAGAAAGATGCAGTAGTTGTGGCATCACACTTCATTAAGTCATTGCTTATGCAGTGTTTTCAGGGAGAAATGAAACATGGCCATGATGATATTGGAGGATCTGGATGCATTTGTAAAACCTAAGGCCGCCTGAGAATATTCATGTGAAAACTCACTTAGATTTCAGAGAAAAGGACAGATGATGGGACATGCAGGTTTAATATTTCTTTTATCTCATTATGTGATGTTATACTTATTTGTTGCTTGGACACTGGAAATAGTCTTGCATATTGCATGACTAACAAAATAAAAATGTGCAATCCTCCCATAGACCCAATAATTCCATTCATCTAATCACTAATCGGAGGAAAAAAAAAAAAAGAACTGGTTAAGTCACCAAGAGCTATAAAATGAACCCTTTTAATATAACTAAAGTGAACATAAATATAATATAAACTAAAGCACTGAATCCTCAACACTAGACCACCAGGGAAACTATGAATGGAACTGAAGTGAAAGGGAAAGATTACAGACCAGTTTCAGCCAACCAAGATAAATGGAGAGATGCTGTTTCCTGTTCCTCTGCTGTAAACAAGGAAGCTGTCCCACTGGACTGGCCACAACCTACATGTCCCAAGGCCACAGTCCTTTCTTCCCTTGCATTTTCCCTAAGGGAGAATTCTGCATCATAAAAGAAAGAAACGCAGTATGAATTCTTTCCAGAAATGATTTGAGATCTGCGTTTGTGACATCTTATTATAAGACAAGCTAACATCTATTATTAATTGATGCACTAATTAAAGCCATACTCGCAGTTTCCATTAGCTTATTCCCTAAATTCTCCAGAGTTGGCTGTCTGGTTTTAATCAAAACCAAATGGTAGTCCAAGCTCCCAGCGTGGAGCAGCTAGGAGGAAGTCATTCAGTGGAGGCACAAAAGCAGAAAAGATAAACAGATGAGAGTTCACAAACTGTGTGTCTGGGGAAGGATGCACACTCTGCTAGTCACTTTAGAGATGTGATTGAGGGACTCGGCCTTGCAGGAGGAAGCATTGCCAGTGTTTAATGTCAGCACAACTCTTACATGATCAAGATGGAGTCTGCCTTCTTCCTTTGCAGCCGTGGCTGTCTGTAACTGGAGGATCCCGACTGTAGGTAAGGCTACATGTGCTGAAACACAAGCCGCTGTGTTCTACGAAGATTTCTGGGGATGGAAGGGAAAGAGAAAATGCTCTACCTCCAAGATTCTCACAATTTTATGTACAGATTTTCTCAATTTCAGGATGTAAAATTTAAGTCATTTTTTTAAAGGTTCTAAACTTTAGAAGAATTACGGTATTAAAAAACTCCGAATTCATCTGTTTTAAAAAACTTTTGAAATGAGAGTTAACAGAAGTGTTTTCATCTCCGTTTAACACAGTGGAAAGGCTGTGGAGGGAAGAGCTGCGTTTTCTTTCTTCCTTGTTTTCCATGAGCCTTGTGGGATAGGAAGGATTCTAGGACTTTCTGACGCTAGCTAATCTTCTCAAGAGCTTTGACAAACTCACTTCAGTCCTGTGTAAAATCAGAGCTTCAACGCCCAGGCGGCTCTGCTCTGCCCCTCCCCTCAGCTTCGTGCAGGCTTTCTCACATGCAAACTTCTCAGAGGCAGGAAATACTTTGCAGGCAATCTGGGCCTGGTTGTGGAGGCCCCTCTCGCAAAACATCAGTCTGCATTTAGAAGACACAAGTCACTAGGAACGCCTTGACAGGATCCGGCTTTAGCTGAGGCTCCCTCCAGCTGCAGAGGGTGTTTTTGTTAGAATCACACACTGCCTGCGTAAGGAGAACTGCTTAGAATAGAGCTGTGACCTCAGCCACGAAATGTGAACTTAGATTCTGAGGACGCTAACGGGACGGACTCCTCTCCTACCCTGGCTGGAACAGCATCATGCCTTGGCAGAACAGAAACTCCTGGTCCAGGTAAGAGGCTGAGACTGTCATCTAGGAGGCAGAGCGGGAATCCTTGGCATCTTCAGCCAGCTGTTGACTGCTTTCAGAGCTGAGCTCAGAAAGCAGAAGGGGAAAAAGTTTAATCAGGAGAAAGCTGTGAGTCAAATCTTTTTAGCAAAATGTCATTTCTAAAATATGTTCCACATTGCTTGAATCTCTTTCCCCTTATAGAAATGTTTCATTTTGATTTCTTTTTATTCTTAACTTAGTGACCAATACATTTATAACGTTCTGCATTGCCGATAAGTAGCATAGCTCTAGGTCAATGAATCTTCTCACATTGAAGTGTGAAACTTTAGGGAACCCTTACTCTGTGTTTTCCCAACAAAAAGAGTACATAGCATGATAGTAATTTTTTCTTAATAATGAGCCTTCAAAGAATACTCTACGTCTTCTTGAAAACTGTGAAGATCAAATTCTTTAACACTGCTCCCAACTAGTTTCAATTGCATATCATACAATTACTAACGTACACCTTAGATTATTTTTAATAGAAGTAATGACATGCAAATTTACCAATTATTTCTGTCTTTACATATTTAATTTCAGTTTTGGAATTTAAATGTCAAAATTGAGTATTGTTTACATTAAGCTTGATTTTGCTGCTCAGATGTTAGGTTGTATGAGTATTCTCTGTGTGTAACTAAAGCCATCTGAATGGCAGTGTAACCCAGTCAGTCATGTGAAAACTTAAAACTGACCATACATTCATCCTTCATGTCATCATGACCACACTTCAGTCTTCTAAATTGTCTTAATGGCTCAGTGTTTGATCCATGAGTAAATAATTGTAGCAAGGATTGAAGTAACCTAGAGTTACAGTAATAAACATGATGTTATATTTCTGCATATTAGAAGGAAATTATTTTGAAAACTTGTATGGAAGAACAGTATGTAAAGAGAACAAACATCTGTGCCTATCTCCAAACGTCTGAAACAAACACAAAATGAACTAAGTGAAAGACAGAGAGCAGTTTTGACAGTTGGATCATAAGAAATCAATAAGAGTTTTAATCATGAACTTTATTATAAAGTACAATTGACTATTTGCTGTGTTAGCTAACTTAATTCTTAATTTCTAGGCTAAAGTGATTTATATTTATGCTTTGACATTGTCACTAACAACTTAAGCTTTGTTAAGGCATTTAAAAAATGAGAAAGACACAGTGTAATATGTTGGAAGTGAAATTCTAGGACTTAAGGAGTGTAGATCAGTGGTGAGCAGTGGTTTACCATGTGTAAGGCCATGGGTTCAATTCCCAGCACCAACAAGGAAAAGGAATTTTGGCATATCTAAATTACTTAATAAAATACCTGAGTAGAATGATAGGGAAAGAAAGGGCATTAAATATCACTATCTCTGGTGTTGTTAGAGATTGCCAACAAGGAAGCTGAGGAATACCATTCAAAAATATCCTATCCAAAGTCATACTGCTGGCTAGTAGAGGAGATGACAGGGAAACCATAGTCTCCTGCCTTATGGGTTATGGTCTTTATACCACATGCCTTCCTCTCAAAAAATAGCTATGCACGGTAAAGTATGACCTTGTCCATCTGATCGGAGGCTACTTTTTAGAAAGGAAATTGGAATTTTTCTTTAAAACAAAATTCAATTAGTTAATTAACAGTATTTTCTCAATGGCTAAGATTTCTTAAAAGGATGCATTATGCTTTCATCTCAGTCTTTAAAGTAGTGACTTGCTTTATGACCATTGTGTTAAATCTCATTCTTGTGCCAAGCAAGCCAATCCATATGCTATAATGATACTCATTTAAGACTAGTGTTTTCTTTCAAGAAAATGATCTAATGAGGAACTTGTTCATTTCATATTCTTATATTTGAAGAGTGGATTAAAAAGTTATCCCCACCAATGACTTCCAGAAGCAATTTTGCAATCCTTCCTCCGTTATAATTGTCTCAAGACTCTCATGAATCTTTCTATTATCTCAGTTAAATATAACTACAGCTTATTTCCAGTTCTAAGTGCCAATAGTCTGTAGTCCATAAGAAAATGTAAGTGTTCATTCTACAATTTGTTTCTACCATTTGCTCTCTATATCTACTCTAAGACTTCAATAAAAATACTTTAATACCTTGGTTCTCAGCCTTTCAATTCTGGAGCACTTTAATAAAGTTCTTCACATTGTGGTGACCCCCAACCATAACATTATTCTTGCTGCTACTATTATGCATTATAATGTAAAAATCTAATATGCAACCTCAGAGGGGTCATGTCCCACAGTTGAGAAGCACTGTTCTTGTAGTATAATACATACTTCTTTTACATTATATGATGGCTGACCAGTGCAGCATCAAATGGGAGGGGTGGCTAATTCCTCTGCATCATACATCCCTTCCAACAACATACACGTGCTGCAGCAGTGTGCTTTGCCAGAGAAAGGTTTTCCCATAAAACTAATATGTTCTGTTTCTAATGAGTGACCTTTTCTTAGAGTGGTGGTTGTCAACCTTCCTAATGCTGTGACCCTTTAATACAGTTCCTCATGTTGTGGTGACCCCAAACATAAAACTATTTCATTGCTACTTTGTAACTGTACTTTTACTACTGTTATGAATTGTAACGTAAATATGTTAGATACTTATGTTAAATATAAAGATGAGGTATGCAGAATATCTGATCCCTGTAAATAGGCATTTCAAAGCCCCAAAGGTGTTGAGCACCCCACTCCCCACCCCAAGGTTGAGAACCACTGCCTTCGAATCTATATCATGGGGCTGTTTTGCTTTTAGTTTGGGGGTTTCTTAATATTAACACCTACAATGACAAAAGCTCTCTCCCACAGCCATCGAAGCTCATTACAATAACCTGGGTACCTTTCTGTATGATGACTAAAGTCTAATGAACAGAGAATATTGCATATTTCTCTGTTCTGAAGGGCACTCCCATTTACAGAAAGCAGGCTTCCTTAGTCCTTTGCAGACATGTCCATATCATATACCTTTTTGCCAGTTCCTAGAGTAAGCTTAATTTCACTTTCTGATAAGTAGATTCCTGGACTTAAAACTGGTCTGAAATGGGTCGTTTCTGAAATGCCTTATGTTTTCTATTTGTTTTTTCTTTGAAAGTGAAAAAAGTGGCATTGTCTTGCAATGAGAAAACTCTTTTTATAACATTTCTAATGTTATAAAAAGGTTTTAAGTAGTAAATGATCCATGGTTGACTCATAGGATTTTGTTTTTTAGCATAAAAATCATCATTTCTGACTGTGGACAACTCTAATTCTTTTGGATTACAGTCTTCTTTACCCACTAGACCATTCCTTCTGTAGCTCAGGAGAGCATTCCCATCCCATTTACTTGTAGCACCCTATGATCTCTGCTCTCCCTGAAGTTCTTTGGGTTCCATATTTCATTTCCTCGTTTCCCTCCAAGTCTAGCTGGATTGCAGAGTTAAGTTTATAACTTTGAGCAAGAACTAAATGAGAAAAAAGAGTAAATATCAACAGCTATACATGGGAGTAGTTTCATAAAACCAAAATTTTAAGCCAAACAAGCCGCAGAGAAATGTCCCTCTTGATCAGCCTTGAGGTATTATGGTACTATGGTACTCTGATTTAAACCTATCAGCTTAAGAGTTTTGAGAAGTACATGGGCTTAGTTTTCAAAAAGGCAAACTATAGACATTGAAATCTGGCTTTAAGGAGGTTTTGGCTTTACTCAATAGATTATAAAGTACTTACATACATAACCTTGAAACCTATTGCCAGGGGAGCAAATGCAAGAGAAAAATTTTAACTATGAATCAATACAGATATCATCATAAGGACTTTTACATGAGCTGAGGGACAAATGAGGAACAAAAGGACAGCAACAGCTGGTTGCATGTTTCAAGCAATTCTATTGTATGAAATCTCAAAGTGTTTAGCAACATAATCCAGGTAAACCAAAGAGAAATTGGAACTACTAATGGCAGTGGCAAAAAGGAAGGAGATCAGAGAGCAAGTTTAGAGAATGTATTTCATTCTCAGCAACTAAAAATATCTCTAACACACTAAGAATTGCCAATACCTGTTCGTCAGTAAGTCATGGAATGAATTGGGAACAAAGGGGAAAGAAGTGAAAAACAGGGTTGCAGAATGTTAATGTGTAAGAGTTGGACTTTTACCCTATTCCCTGGACATCCTGAAATGATAGAGTAATA